TCATTGATTAAAGGTGAGAATTATGCGGAAACGATTGCTTAAGAAGGCCTTTGACATGATCCTTGGCATATCAATGAGTGAGAACAAAGATGTAAGTAAACAGTATTGAATTTAATTATGCCTTTTCTTTTCTGATTAATTATTCCATATACTAGGTGCATATTTAACACTAGGGGTGTTAACGAGCCGAGCCGAGACCAAACCTCTCTAGGCTCTACTCGAGCTTGGCAGTGGTGAGCTTGAGCCTCTCGTCGAGCCTGAGATTTGAAGTTCGGCTTGAGCTCGAAACATATACACACGGGCTCTGCTCGGCTTGAGCTTGAGCTCAATTCAAGGCTCGGCTAGAGCTCGACTCGGGGCTTGAGCTTTTAATGCTTTATTTCCCTCAATTTCACCTGTTTTCACCCATTTTTCCCTGTTTTAGTTTATCAACTACTCGTAATAATTAACTTTTAAGAAATTAAAATACAATTTAAGAGCACAAAATTATAATGTTTAAGACTTTAAGTTATAAAAGTAATTTCGTGAAACAATTTTAAACGAAAAAAAAACCTATCATTTTTGGTTGGATGACAAAATGACTGAAAGAGCAAGGCAAATGGACTGAATCGGAGTTTGATGGGAAGACTGCTTGATTGTTTTAGAAGACAAACGAACAGAATGAGTGAGGCAAACAAATAAACAATGGAGTGAAGGATAGGGCAAAAAACAGCTAGGGTTTAAGGCTGTAAAATGAGATGTTTATAAATTATAATAGAGGGTAGGACTGTAGTAGGCAAACTAAATGGGAAGCTTTGTAAATAAATGTCTAAATGAGAAAAAGGCCCAAAATCCCAATGTGAGAATTGAGAAATACGAATACACAAAGTCGGATTGTTTTTTAGGTTTCTTTCTTCTTCTTTTTTTTCTTTTTTTTTTCCCCTTTTTTTTTTTGAAATTTAGTTTTTGAATAATTTTAAAAATAAAATAAACTATTAATATTAATAATATTATTAATATAAAAAAAAATGCTCGAGCTTGTTCACGAGCTTTCAAGCCAAGCCATGGATGGCTTAAGCTTGGCTTGTTAAGATATCGAGCCGAACCTGAACTCGAGTCAAGCTTGGTCGAGCCGAGCTTTGACCGAACCGTGCACCAAGCAATTCACAAGCAGGCTCGGCTCGGCTCGCTAACACCCCTATTTAACATACAATGATATCAATTTGTTAAACTGAACAACACTTCCTTGTCATGTAATACCTTTTTTCAATTTCTTAAAATGATTTATGCCTTCTATTACTTCTTTGTTGTAGGATTATGAGAAGTTCTGGGAGAACTTTGGCAAACACCTGAAATTGGGTTGCATCGAAGATCGTGATAATCACAAACGTATTGCACCTCTGCTACGATTCTTCTCGTCTCAAAGTGAACAAGAGATGATAAGCTTAGATGAATATGTAGAAAACATGAAGCCTGACCAGAAGGATATTTATTACATTGCTTCTGACAGTGTAACAAGTGCCAAAGATACACCTTTCCTTGAAAAGCTTTTGGAGAAGGATCTCGAGGTAGAGATTCCTCTTAACTTATTCAGTTTTCAGTTCCTTCCTTGTAGTGGTTGCTATTTGTTTTATTGGCATACTGGCATGGTTTACGTCAATGTAACCTGTTGGTCTGTTTACACTTAACAGGTACTCTTCTTAGTTGAACCCATTGATGAGGTTGCCATCCAGAATTTAAAGGCATACAAGGAGAAGAACTTTGTGGACATCAGCAAGGAAGGCTTAGACTTAGGTATGTACATTGGCGTCTCTCTCTCTCTCTGGCATGCTTCAACTTCATTGGACCTTAGGAATGGAAGGAAGCAGAAACTTGTAGTGGCTTGATGATATCCCCATAGACCATCCCTTTTTTTGTTTAGGGGGGGGGGGGGGGTGGGGTTGGGTGGGGGGCTGCATTGGCATGCTAACTATTATTAAGAGTAGGACCTTGGGTTTGAAGTGGAAACCCGTAGTGGCTTCCTATTAGCTCCATAGACCACCCCAACATTTGCCTGTTTTCTGAAGGGTGGGAGGGGGAAGTTATTAGGGTTTTTTTTTTTGCCTGATATTCTGAAATCTAATTAAGAGTTGCATTTGGTAAACAAAATTTATATAGAATTGCAATTTTGACATTGTTGCAGGAGGGGAAAATGCGGAGAAAGAAACAGAGGTGAAGCAAGAATTTGGAAAAACTTGTGACTGGATTAAAAAGCGCCTTGGTGATAAAGTTGCTAGTGTCCAAGTTTCTAATCGTTTGAGCTCTTCACCATGTGCTCTTGCATCTGGTAAATTCGGTTTTTCAGCTAATATGGAAAGGTTGGTGTTTTTCCTTTTGGGGCATAGCTGTTCATTTTAATATCTTATTACCTGTCAGTGGAAGAAGAACAATGATATTGGCTTTTGCAGGCTGATGAAGGCACAAAATTCTAGCGGGTCAAGTCCTCTTGAATTCATGAAAAGTAGAAGGGTGCTTGAGATTAATCCTGACCATCTGATTATCAAAACTTTGCATGTACGTAAATTTGATGAATAGTTATGTGTTCTGACTGTATGTAGTGTGTATCTACTAGTGTTTAAGATTGATCGTCTCTTTTGCTATACAGTCTGCGTACAAGAGTGGTTCAGAGGATGAAGAAGTTCTTAGAGCTGTTGATCTATTATATGATTCAGCACTAATCTCCAGTGGTTTCACTGTAAGTTTACTTGGATTCTTGTCTGGATGCATGTTTTTGTTTTGGGCATTTTGTTGTGTTTTTGGCTTTTCTTTTGGGTAGATTTAATGGATATAGTCAAACTCTCATCTGTTCTATCTCAAGTAAATATAAAAAAAGTACTTGTAATTAAAGCTTGCCTTATTGATTCGAAATGATTTTTTTTTTTAATAATCAGAGATTCAGAATTCTTCAAAAGGCTCGGTGTATTCTTGCGTCTTGCGAGTGTGAACACCATATACGTGTTGCATGCATGTACATTAGTTTGTACAGTCTTTGTGATTACTATAGGATTATTATTTCATAACGGAGGAAATTATTCTGTAGACATTTTTCTGCATAGCCTACTAGCCTCCCCATTAGAGCTTACAAGTTTCATCATGTAGTCTTGTGCTGTCTGCAAGGGTTAATTACTTAATTTGTACATTTTTTATATTTATATTATATAGTTTCTTGGCGGTATGTTTTTGTGCAGCCTGAAAACCCTGCAGAAGTTAGTGGAAGACTATATGATTTGTTGGGCGCAAGTTTATCAGAAAAATGGGGTTCGTCACTTGATGCTCAACAGCCACCTCACCAGCAGCCACAGAATCCTGAGATAGTTGAAGCTGAGGTACTCGAGCCAGTTGAAGCTGGTAATCAGAAATGAAGAAGACCAGACATTTCGTGAAACTCTCTGATCGAAATTACATATTGAATTAGAAAATTGTCACTGCACTGAAGCTATGCTTGCAATTGCGTAGATGATAGCTGGACAATTTTGAGTGTTATGAGATTATGACTAACTTGAAAGATCTCTATTATAGATACCGAAGTGTCTTCCTACATACATACTGATCTAATCGTATGTGAAATTTCTACTTTATGCTACTTTTCATCATAAAAATATTAGCGATTAATATTGTTCAGTTGTTAGTTCTAAAATTGGATGATAAATGCATCTGATCATAGAAAAAATTAAGCTGTTGACAAGTTTGATGTCTACACTACAATATACCAGGAAAATTTGATCAGTATTAAGGTGATGCTATCTGGGATATCTCATTGAGAAAAGAAGCAAAAAACTTAAGGTGGCAAACTTAATAGAAACAGACATTGACAGCAAAATAGGACTTCTTAGAGCATGAAGGATAGTCAGGAGATATGGACTACAGAAGTACGGATGTGGAATCTATCAAGCGGGAGTTTCTCCGGCTCTTTAGTGGGATTAATAGAGGTGACATGGTTAGCTTTTAGGGTCTCAGTATATAAATTAAGATTAAATAGGTTCAAACAAATTAGTTTAGATAAGAAGTATTTCCGTTGGTCAAAAATTCTTTGCTAGTTATATAGATGTTACAATGATTATTAGAGTGCTTGTTATTTCAAATTCCTATGGAGAATGTCTAGAAATTGACTTTATAGATTTGTCCAATTGGATCACGTAATATAATCTACATGCTTGTTTCAAAATATATGTAATGTTTCACTTCGTTGTAATTTATGTGTAAGGGAAAATATAATTCATAGTTGTGTCATTTGTGTGATAGAATCGTCATAAGGTATATTCTCAAAATATCAAATTTGTATAATTTTTACATATACAAAATTAAAGATAAAAATGATTGAATTTCATGCATGAAATTAGCTTTGCAAGAATCTTGAAGTGCATGGTTCTTGATTGAAGAAAATTGTTGACTAATTTGTTAGTGACTGCCAATTTTTGTTTGGTCTAGGAAGATTAAGAGTTAACAATTGTCTCATTGCATATATTAGGCAAAATCAAAGTTGAATGGGTTAGATCATGTAAACCCATATGTTGTATCTGAAGAATCATAAAAATCGTGTTTTATTGATTTTTCACAAGTAGAATCTATGTATGGCCTGACTCACGTGTTACCCTAAAGGTTGTACCGTACAAGTAAGTTCTCAATTTAATTTTTCTTTCGTGAATAATAAAAATAAGTAATCTAATTGACTCGTTCGTGTTAAATTTTTAAAATGATGTCGATGTACGAGTCATAATACAACAATGTACCTCTCTCACGTAGTACCAGATTAATAAAAAAACAAAGTATTTCATCTTAAAAAAAAATGAAATAATAAAACATAAAAATCAATATCGGAGTACGGAGTATCATATAAAATGAGCTCTTCTTTAAGAACAAAGAGGGTATTTTGCATTTATGAAATAATTCTGGTGAACCAGAAACCAGGCAACCGGTGAAAACGGTAAAGATAAATAGACAGAGTTGAATTTTCAACACGGTTTTACTTCATAGCAACCGGCAACGGATACTTTCTAACATATTTTACTCACTCTATAGACTTTTCATCTTTGTCAATGCTTAGTTAGCTCCCTAAAAGGTTTTCTCCCAAATTCGTCCTCTCAAATTTTCCGGTACTTCCTGCTCAACCCTTCTTTTTTAGGGTTTTTCTCTCTCCTGGTACTTCTCTATCTTTCTCTCTCTGATTCTGCTGCTCTGATTTTGCTGAATTTCTAATTCAATTTCACAATTTTCGACAAATTATTACTCTTTTTTATTTGTTTAGTTTTTGATCTGGAATTTGTTATAATTTACATTTTTTGTTTAATTTAACTGTTGTTGTTGTTCTGATTTTGCTTGAACTCTTCTCTGAATCGTTGAAATTAATGAGAAAAACATTTGACCTAAATCTTGAATTTTTATCTTAATTAGGAATTTTTCGATTAGTTTGATTTTATTGATGTTTAATTAGTTTGTATTGCTTTAATTGTTGCGATTGGGAGTAATTTGATTTTGTTCAGCTGGGAATTTGAGTTTATAATTAGCAAAATTAGTATGCTGATGTGTTGATGAATTACAATTTAAGAGTACGATTTAAACTTGTTGTAGATGTTTGAGTTGGGAGTATAAATGTGATTGGTTTTTTCAATTGAAATCAGGAGCTGGTTGATTACTTCTTGTTTCGGAGGTGTTTTGTTTGATAACGTTGATTGAGCATCGGATGAGCACGATTTGAAGGCAATCGTCTCTGAGTACTATCCATTTTTAGTAGTTGTAGTATCAGTTGTTGCTGTAGTCATGTTGGTACAGAATCAGGGACGGGAGTCGCCAACTGAGAGTGCCAGTTCACGTGATACGTCACCTACTGCTGATGGAATTGTGGCGAATAAGCGGGAGAATGAGAGGAATGGTAATGATTATTCACGAGATACATCACCTACTGCGGATGGATTCGTGATGAAGAAGCGGGAGAATGGGAGAAATGATAATGATTGTTTTGAGCAAGCCGGTTCACGTGATACGTCACCTACTGCTAATGGGATTGTGGCGAAGAAGCGGGAGAATGAGAGGAATATTAATGATTATTCACGAGATACATCACCTGCTGCAAATGGATTTGTGACGACGAAGCGGGAGAATGAGAGGAATGATAATGATTGTTTTGAGCAATCAGTGGTTCGGAGGGGGGTCTTCACGGGAGATAAGATTACTCTCCGTACCATAGCTGAAGAAAGGGTCGATGTCATCTCTGAGAAAATGCAGGTTCTTCCCGATGAATACTTTGAAGAGCTGAAGAATGGCTTGCGTGTTGTTCTTGAAGGAAATGGTGGCTCACAACAACGGGAGGAATTCTTAGGCTTGCAAAAGCTTGTTCATAGTAGGTCGGACTTAACTCCTAAGATGTTGCGACGAGCTCACCGTGTGCAACTTGAAATTCTTGTTGCCATGAAGATGGGAATCCAGGCTTTCTTGCATCCTAATGTCTGTCTTTCTCAAACTTCTCTCATTGAAATTTTTGGCTATAAGAGATGTCGAAACATTGCGTGCCAAAACCAGCTTCCTGTGGATGACTGTACCTGTGATGTGTGCACAAATAAGAGTGGTTTCTGTAATGTTTGTATGTGTGTAATATGTACTAAGTTTGATTTTGAAGTGAATACATGCCGATGGATTGGTTGTGACTTATGTTCACACTGGACCCATACAGATTGTGCAATACGTGATGGATTAATCTGTATGGGTACATCTGCTAGGGTTGGGACTGGACAGGCTGAGATGTTGTTTAGGTGTAGGGCTTGCAATAGGACATCTGAACTTTTAGGTTGGGTTAAAGATGTGTTCCAGCATTGTGCCCCCACTTGGAGCAGGACAGCTCTTATGACGGAACTTGACATAGTTGAACGCATCTTCCGTGGAAGTGAAGATGTTAAAGGTAGGAAATTATTCTGGAAGTGTGAGGAGCTTGTAGAAAAGATGAAGAGTGGACTGCCTGAGTCAGCAGCTTGCAGAGCGATCCTGATGTTCTTCCAAGGTACCAACTTAAACTAATTCTCATTAGATTTTATCCATATGAAACTTGAATATTCTTGACTATGAGTGTTGAATCTACAATTATATTCTACAGTTCTACTATTGAATGTGTTATAAAAAGGACTGAAGGAAAATTGGGAAAAAAGGTTTATTAATTGATTTTGCTTCAAAAGAGAATGGTAATGATGTGTTCTAAACCTCTCACAGTTTTTTCTTGTTTCACAATTTTTTGCACCATGCTATTAGTAAGATGGCATATTCTATTATATACAAAGTGCTTAGTATTAAGGTTAATGTCTCTATATAGCTGCAAGACCTAAGAATGCTATAGTTTATCCAAAGAAGAAGGGTATAGTCCTTAATATCAACTTTTGATGATGCCTTCTGTGGTCACTTTGTATTCATAATTAATAAAGAAGTTGAATCTTGTAACAAAAACCATAAAACAAACTATTAAATAATTGTCCCTCGTTTGAAGAGCTCGATGCAGACCCATCGAGAAATGCAGGAATAGGGGAAGGTGGAAGACTGTTAGCGCCACAGGAAGCCTGCAAACAAATTGCAGAAGTTGTTCAGGAAGCTATAAGGAAAATGGAGATGGTGGCTGAAGAAAAGCTAAGGATGTTGAAGAAAGCCCGCCTTAATCTTGAAACTTGTGACCGTGAGGTTGAAGACAAAGTTCGGGAAGCAGCAGAGCTGAAGCTTGAAAGGCAGAGAAGGAAGCAACAGATAGATGAGCTCGAAAGCATTGTGAAACTTAAACAGGCAGAAGCTGACATGTTCCAGCTTAAGGCTGATGAGACTAGACGAGAAGCTGAGATGCTCCAGAAAATTGCTCTTGCTAAATCAGAGAAATCAGAAGAAGACTATCGCACTAGATACCTCAAACTTAAGCTGAGTGAAGCAGAGGCAGAAAAGCAATACCTATTCCAGAAGATGAAATCTCAGGATAGTTCTCGTGCTACGCATGGCAATGATGGGAATGATTCTTCACAGATGTTCTCTAATGCACTAAAAAATGTGTACAATGTTTCATCCAGTGCTGATTGCCAGGCCAGTGAGAGGAACTCTGGAAGAAAGAATTCATGAATGATGATATAGTGATCTCTCATATGAATGGTAAAGAATAGATGCCGTTCCTAGGACATGTCGAGGTTCAGTTGCAGGTACTGGTTTATTCTATAACTTTTTGCATTTTTTAACTGGCAGTTGTACTAAAGTAGGAAGTGGTGAATGTACAAGGTCTTGTTTTACTTTTTCTCATTGTGATGTCGATTTCTGTGTTTCTTTTCAGCATAATTTGCTGGCTGTGATGGACTAACTAGTTTATTGTATGTTATATATATAATGCTGTTGTGGTATTTCATGCGCATCCTAATTTGTGTATGTACAGAAATGCACATATAGGGTGAGTCCAATAGAACTTCTCAATATGTTTGACTATTGTGAATTTATTAAGGCCTGGTCTAGTCCAACTAAATTTTGACCGGGTGTTAGATGCTACTCCGTAATTTCTAAGAAAATACATTATGATGTGGGGTCTTCTTTGCGAGTATATATCATACTCGTAATTATTATTAACATTTAATTTAAGATGTTTTTATAAAGTAAATAGATATAACGTCATGTCTGGTTTTGTTTAATCTGAATCTTTCTAGTAATTTGATCTATGTTTAAGAAACACAACTAGTAGGTTCATAAAATAAGGTGAAGAGAGCATAGTTAAAGCCAGAGTGCGAAGATGTATTTTCTTGAAGCTTATGCATATACGAGTAGCAAAATTGTGTAGATGTTAAGTTGGATTTAAACTAGACATGAATTCCAAGGAATTCAAATAACTAGCACGATTAACCTGCGTTGGACTTTATATGAAGCTTGAAAGCCAATTTTTTTAGAAAAGTTTGAATCAAATAGCTCAAAATGCACCCTTAAACATGAGACCATGACAAAGATTTTACGTTCCATCTTAATCTAATAGACCAACATTTCTATCATAATCGCATCACTTGTACTGATGATTATATTGTAATCACATATTTTAAGCAAATAATGTGTCAAAATCAAAAGATGTACGATGGTTTAAGATAAGAGTACAAAATGGAACATATGATGTCAAATTGGAGTTGGTTGCACCCTGAATCTGTATCATCAGACAAAAGGTCATCTATTTTCTAGTAATCAAATATTGATACGGAGTATCATTTTATAAGAAAAGTCATCATCAACCAACCACTAATAAAAAAAATTCAAATCTTCTTTGTAGCAAATCGTTTACTTAATACTTGTATAATCTTATCTGTATTACCTACTCACTTATCATATCACTAATAAATAAAATCAGTCTCGCAGTCAGGTCACGAGACAGCGACACTTGGCATTCCAGTTTTTCGCTAAGTGTCGAGTCACTTAGGCAACAAAAAAATAAATTATTGTGATTAGATTAGATGCCACATTAGATTAGATTGGATAGAATTGTGTAGGATAAAAAAGTATACATAAAAAATTTATCTTTTTATTGACAATAGATACTTATAGCAACACGCCACACATTATAATTAATATGAATATCCAATTAACAATAGAATTTTATTCATATACGAATAACCACGTGATTATAATTATAAATTTGGTCATGTATCATTAATTTTTTTTTTAAGTCTACCATTGATTTACCATTAAAGCTTTTGAATCAAGTATTCTTCATATTCGGTTGTAATATTTTTGTGTATGTTTGTGATTTTGTTAATGAAATTAAATATGTCAAAAACTAATAAATTAGGACACAACAGAAACCGTACAATATAAGGTAATCTTGAAGTGAATTCAGATAAATGTTAGCAAGGTCTTAGATATTTACAAGTTTCTCACTTAAAAAGTGTTTCAATAATTTTTATTTTCATTTTTATATGTTGATCATATTAATGTTTTTTTCAATAAACGGTAAAAGGTATTACTATTCTGCATCATCAAAAGCGTTTATTTGACCATATTTAACATTCAAACCAAAAAATTTATCCTAAAATATTTTATCAACAATCCAGGCATCTAGCATTCCAATTTTTTTTTTACCAAGTGTCGCGCCACGTAGGCGAAAAATAGATATTATTGTAACACATATGATACTAAGTAAGTGAATTTGGTTAGTTTTATTTAAGATAAAAATGTTGTATAGAGTTTTATTATCAATATACTTCTAATATTTCATATATACAAAATTAATCATAACTTTTAATAAATATCCTATAACTCAGTTTTATTTTCATCATAAAATTCGTTTTAAATAGTTCTTTAAAATAAGATCCATCTATAATATATTTAATTTATTTAAAAAAATAATAGAGAATTAGTAAAAACAAAAAATTTAAGTTCAATAAAAATAATTTCAAGTCAATAATAACATAGATATTTATTCACAAACAAAACTAAAAAAAATACACTATTATTTAATTAAATAAGCGATATGGCATCGTATGTATAAATATCCTACTTTATCAAAAGGGATTGTAGGACCGTATTTAACATTCAAGCAAAAAAGCTTATACTGAAGTTTTATCAACAATCTGGGCATCGCCCGGGCACAAAACTAGTATGTTATTAAACAAGGTAAAATACTCGCTCTTTTTTTTTTTAATTATTATTATTATTATTATTATTATTATTATTATTATATCCACTTTTACTATATTCTATTTTCTTCTCATTTTATTATCTTAGGTTCTTACCTCTTACCCTACAATATATAGTAATTCCTCCTTATTTTACTACTTGCTCCATTTCTCCATACGCAGAGTTGTAAGGTAAATAGTAGAAATTAATAAAATATAAAGAAAGTGGTATTGGTGAAAGAATAAATTAAAGTATGAAAATTGGGTGGAGAGAAAATTTAGATATTAAAGTATGATAGTTAGAGGGGGTCACTAGGAGAGAATAAATTAGTGAAATATTGTGAAAGATTCCAAAATACGGCCGTAAAAAAAATAAAAAATATAAAACATAAATGGAGCATGCAATAAATTACGAAGGGAGTACATTTTACGATTATCAACCTGAAAGTTCAATATGAATTCTATTGTGCGCTATGTGATCCACGGCCGCATAATGTTACTAGTGTATTCATTGACGTGTTTTGGGCCTTGTACAATATTTGGTCTTAAGTTGTCAATTTTATTTTAGTCAGCATTTTCTGCTTTGGTTTAGTGGTTTGCGCGGTTGCGCCAATGAGGTCAAAATTTCATACTCTTACAGCAAAGGCATGCTACTGGACATGTCTTAGTGTCGGTAGGTTGACAAGGTTGTTTCCTGTCGGACCGTGTCGTGTTTTTGTATTAAGGTTAGGAGTTGCTCTAGCGGCCGAGCGGCAAGGTATGGAGTATGGACGTATAGTATAACTCAAGGGCTTGCTCGCCCATCTTCACAAACCCCTTTCGAGTAAATGCAATTTCTAAACATGCTACAAGTCTATGATAACGATAGTTTTCGAAAGAAAGTACAATGTGTAAAGAAGGTACCATTTATGTTGCCATGTTTTGTTAAACAAGAATTACACTAAGTTTTGACCATTTATTGGGTTTTATAACTTTTCATTGTTAATTATCCATAGTACTCCCTTTGTCCCTTATTTTTTGCCTCATTTGACTTTTCACGGTCTCTAAGATGTGTCTTTAAACGAATATATCTCCATTTATATACGCGTAAAAATTATAAAAACTTGATATTAATAAAATATACTAATAGACGATTCTAACAAGATCCCACATGAATATATTATCAATTATAGACTAATGACAATTCATGGTCAAAGTTATAAAAATTTAACCCATATGTTTGCAATGGGGCAAAAAATAAGAGACGGAGGGAGTAGGTGTTAGTATGGTATGGATATGAAAGTGTATGAAGACAAAACTAAGCTATTGAGTAGTCTGTATAGAGAAATATTAGAACAATGGTAGGGGTAAAAGAACTGTAAATAGTTATTCTCTGTAACAGATAAAAGGAAGTACTTCGTATAAAGAATGTTAACTACTCCATATTAAATACACTATTAGTTTACGTAGACTATATATCTGGCTTTTATAAGTCATATACTCGTATTGTCTTGTTATGTGGATTATTCAACTTTATCAATTATTCAGTAACTTTATATAACGAGCACTCATACTTTCATGTTACAATTTTTTTGTTTTAATCCTATATTAGAAGTCACTTGTAACTAATTATAAAAATTAAAAGGAAGGAAATAATCATTACTTAGAGGACATATTGGTAGCCTCACATAAAAACTTATCCCAAATTGTGACAATCTTCATTTGGACAATAAGGGCTCACAATGAAAGTTACATCATCCAATATAATGTCTTCAAAAAAAATGAAAGGTTTTATTCCTTTCAAAAATAGCTAAACTGGGACTACTTTTTTAGATTAAGCAAGTAGGTGAGGCCCCCCCATCAATTGGTAGCTAGCGTATAAAAAATCAAGATTTCAACAATATAATTATATGCCCATTTCAGTAAACAACAAAAACATTCTTACTTGGGCTAACCTACTCTCAACGTCACAAGATCATTTGTTTCAAGTCTTGTGTTTTCTTGTAAAGATTGTACTTGTATCTTCTTTATTTTCTTTTACTCGTACTTAGGTGCCACTATGTATTTATATATGCATGCGATGGTAACTTTAGGTCGTATGAGTCATATATCTTTCATATGGTGTTTACATGTCCTAGTGTACAATAAAAATCAAGTCTGTTATCTGTTACGGAGTATTGTTATATTTATGAATTTATAATATACTTATTTTTTCGTTTTAAAATTATTTGAAATAATGTATCAAAGCATATATTCTATCTCTATAATTGAAAAATGTAAGAGGTTTAAAACTATTTATATGTTCTAAATTGATGAGTTTGTTAAATCAATGTTAATATCCGACTACCACAATCGTAACCCTAATGTGAGCATGTTGCCTAGATGACCCGACGTGATCTTAATTGGTTAGTTGAAGAATGGAATTCTCATGGAAATGGATAGAGATGACTGTTGCTAGTATACTCACATACTATTAGATAGAATATAGAAAGAGATGGGGATGCACAAGAGATTAAATAAAATTGACCAATGATATATTGAGATTAAAAGTGGTACATAAAGAACACTAGTATAGGCATGATTTGAACTTATATTATGCTTGTCAAAAAAGTGGAAGGCACAAAATTTTCATGAAGTACATTTTATTCAAGGGCTTTTACAAGCCACATATATAAGAAATGAAGTTTTCATGAAAAAGCCAAGGAGATGCATATCTTGAGAAAATATAAGATAATTTAGTTTAATGTCCTGATTAGATTACCTATCATTCCTAAAAAGTTAATATTGACATGATATAAAACT